ACCAGGGGGTTTACCAGGGCTACTACTCTTGAGACATAGACTCCAATCTTTGTCTCCCTAGTCCCATGAGCCTGTCTTAAACACTGCTGAGCTCTCATTCTCCTCTTCTTGAGTAGCAAATAGCCACAGGATAAAAGCTATGCCAAACACTGGATTCACCATTCTGGCTTTCCATCTCCTTCCATATCCTTGGCTGATAACTCTTCACTTTGTCCTTACTAGTTGTCCTTGATAGGGAGTTGGTCTGAACTATCTAACCTAGCATTACTGGAAGCTGATATTCAATAAATGTTAGTTCCTCCCCTTTATGTCTCACCCCAAGCCTGGATGATGTTACAGTTAAGGCTAAAAAAAAAACAAAGCAGAATACAAGACATAGAAGAGAAGAAAAAGTACTGAGAAGCTTTAAATGCTTCTGGGCATCAAGACTAGGACAGGCAGGTTTGCATTCCTCAGTAGCCCACCACCTTACCTTTGCTTCATGCTCCATGTCCTTCCCAGAATGTCTTCCTTCCTCTCTCCCACCTATCTAAGCTCTTTCAACCTGGGATATTATGGGCATTCTTCTATACTAAAAAAATAACAACAATTTCTATTTGATGTTTTTCTACTATGGTATTTCCAATAATGAGTCCTATACATGTTGCCAGCCAGTCTGGCCACTTCCCAGATGCCTTCCCTAGAAACTGCAGACCACCCCACTCTCCTTCCCTGGAAAGCTACTGCAATAACCATTCACCACATCCTCTTTGTACTTAGGGTTTGGTATAAAGTCTAATCCCCTAGATTCATTAGATAATTCCTTAAGGATCATGTCTCTCCTCAAGCCCCCCTTCCTTCAACAGCTCTCTGAAAATACTTGTATTCACGTATTCTCTGAAAACCAAAGATCTCTTATTATGGGAGTGGGGTTTCCAAACCTTGGGATGATTATCCTCAAGACTCACAGGGTTTCCTGGAAAGCCCTCTTAGGTCCCCTCCCTCTTGGGGAACTCTGTACTATTGCTCAATAAACTCTGCTTTGCTGCCCATCAAAAAAAAAAACTAAAAAAGGGGGGCGGCACCTGGGTGGCTCAGTCAGTTAAGCGTCTGCTTTCAGCTCAGGTCGTGATCCCGGGGTCCTAGGATTGAGCCCCATGTAGGGCTCCCTGCTCAGCGGGGAGGCTGCTTCTCCCTCTGCCTCTGCCACTCGCCCTGCTTGTGCTCTCTCTCTCAAATAAATAAAATCTTAAAAAAAAAAAAAAAGACTTCCAGGGTTTCCCAAGAAGAGATACTCTGAGGTCTCACGGCATTCAGCAGAGATCTGCCATATGTACGCTGTCCCCTCCAAGAATGTGGGTAGATGGGGCACTCCACCATGTCCCCACATTCCTGTACCTCAGCTCCAGAGATCTAAGCCAGTCTCAGAGAAGATCTCGGCTAGGGCACTAAAAAGCAGTCTTTGAGGGCACTGAAGGCCAGTTCCCATTCACTAAGTACCTTCAGGGAATATTGCTTCTGCTCAGGGAAAGAGCTGTCTGCACAGCATTGCTGGGCTCAAGGCGGGGGCTAAGGGGGTGGTGGTGTCTGGATGTTCTTCACAACCCAAGAGGCCTCAATCCCAACATCTGCTCCTCATCCATATCCAATATGGAAGCCTAATTTGAACTGCTGGAGATATCCCCTATATCCGGGAAAAGAAATCGAGACAGAGGAGGGGAGCGGTGGCATCACATCCCAGAGGCAGAGATCCTTCCAGTACCTGACCCTAACAAGACACATGCTGGCCCATATGAAGAAAACAACGTAACTTAAAAAGAGATATGAAAGAAGGCTTGACTAATGGAAATGAATACCATGCTGTCAGGTGAGAAAGCTAAAGATATGGGTTTTTCCAGATTAATTCCTATACTTACTATAATCCCAATCACAACACCAATGATACAGAGACAGAAAGCACATTAGTGGTTGCCTGGGTCTAGGGGGTGGGAACAAGGATGAACTGCAAAAAAGGAACAGGGATCTTTTTAGGGTGATGGAAATGTTTGAAAACTAGATTTCGGTAGCATCTTCATAACTCTAAACTGCGTACATTAAATTGCACATTTGAAATAAGTGAATGTTATGGTATATATATTATACCTCAATCAAGTTGTTTTAAAACATATATCTAGCAAGTTTTACTAAAAGATCATTCCAAATACAAAGCGGACTTGAGTTTTCCATGAAAAGATTTAACAGGCTTTTGATCTTGTTAAAAATAGCTTACCACTTTTTTTTAAAAGTGATTTTTTTTTAAGTGGTAAATATACAGGTACAAGGTTAAAAACAACAACAACAACAACAACAAAACTGAACAAACAAAAAAACACAGTGACATCTGGAAATTTAAAGAGTTTCAAATGATGATTCTAAAGTTTCCCTAGAGGAATAAACAAGAAAGAATAGCTAAGAAAATTTTTAAAAGAAGTCTAAGAGGGTTGTTCTGCCAGAAATTAAAGCCACAATCATTAAAACAGTTCAGTCCTGTTGTAAGGATCAATAAACAAATTAATGGATTATGATAGGTATATATAGGAACTAAAATAGGCTTTAGTATGTATAAAAATTAGTATATAAAGAAAGGACCACAAACTAACATCTAAGAGTTAAATATTCCACAAATGATATTGGGGGAAATTACCTATTTAATTAACCAAAAATTGAGCAGGAAACTAATTCTATACTATATACTCAAATCAATTTCAGGTTAATTTAAAAGTCAAATGGAGAAATTCAAACAACAAAAATTACTTTTAAAATGTAGATTAATACTTAACTAACCTTAGAATAGGGAAGGAATGCATAAACTATGGAAGGATTGGTTAAACTATATGTGGGACCTTATACAACCATTAAAGTTTTCCAGATAATTTCTAGGAACCATGAGAAAATGCTCATGAAATAATGAGAAGAGGAAAAAGCAGGATATAAGATTGAATCAGAAGAAGAACACACACTAAATTTTAAAAATAAGAAAACTGCATATACAGAAAGATTGGTAGGTACATCACGATGCTTCTCGATGGCAGAATTACAGGTAAGCTGTTACTTTCCCCATTGCATTTTTAGGGGTTTCCCCTCATATTTTTCACCAGGAGCATGGGTTTCTTTCATAAGCAGAAAAATAAAGATATTTTTTAAAGACATGGTTAAATGAGAATACGAAAAAACAATCAAATTCAGCCATTAAAAAGCAGCAGCTTCAACGTACGTATACATAGATGTTAAATGTGTTTTTCACGTGGGTGATCTATGTCACAATTTTCTAAGTAGAGAAAAGCAAAAGCCACACAGCGTCTTGCAGGGACAGTGGAGAGGCAAGGAGCGCCCTGGCAGGAGCGTGTCCCCACCACTGTGGGCAGGGAGGCCGCCTTCGTCAGACTTGGCGGCCGGCCTGGTCGCTTCCCAAATGAACTCCCTGTGGGCTGCGTCAGGCACACAGAGCGGCCCCATCTAGGCCACTAGGAACTCATCACACCAGCTGCCAACAGCCCCAGAGACCAAGCGTGAGGGCTGAGTCACCAACAGACTCGAGAGTCTGGTTTGAGGTTCGCCCCACTCCCAACCCTCTGAACTACTGTCCCCACAGACTAACTCAGCACCGCCCTTGAGACTGGTCTCTCCCTCCTTCCCCGCCTGTTGTCTGTGAAGCGCCCCTTCCCATTGCCCCCTGCCCCACGAGGTCCAGAGGCAGGCAGCTTGTCCCTTCTGCCATCTGCCCCCACTCTTGAAATACTTTTCCTTTCTGCCACTTGTAGGAAATACTGCCTTTTTTCTGCCCACCGTAAAACCATCTCCAGAAAACTCCATCTGCCCTCAGGGCGCCTGGGTGGCTCAGTCGGTTGAGCGTCCGACTCTAGATTTCGGCTCAGGTCATGATCTCAGGGTCCTGGGATCCGGCCCCACTTTGTTGAGCCTTGCATCGTGGGGCTCCCTGCTCGGCGGGGAGTCTGCTTCTCCCTCTCCCTCTGCCCCTCCCCCTGCTCATGTGTGCACGCTCTCTCTCTCTTGCTCAAATAAATTTTAAAAAATAGAAATAAAAATAAAATACCGCCTGCCCTCTGCCCCCTGAGACATGCAGCGCTGACCAAAGGGGACAAAGTGTTTCCCTCTGTCACTCCTCTCAATGCCGTTCCTCCGTCCCTGCTCCCCAAACTCCTCAATGCTGTCGCCCACCTCTTCTTTGAAACGTGGATATCCCCATCCCTACCTCCGCACAAAGCATCACCTTCCCCCCGTTGGCCACGTGGCCCCCGGGAAATGATGACCCTCCTGTTTCCAAGGAAAAGAATTGGCCTCTGTCCCCCACTGGAGTCATTATTACTGTATTATTCCTCCTGCCATTTCGTTAGTTCTTAACATGCACCAGGCCCTCCGCTGAGCAGGCAGATTCTCCCAACAGCCAACAAATTAGGTAGCATTTTTATTCTGATTTTACAGCTTGCCCCAATCACCAGATGCTAAGCATAGTCAGATTTGCCCATAGGTACACCTGACTCCAAAATCTTAGATAAAAACCCAGATTAAACCAGAATTTCCTGGACAGTTGATATTGTTAAAAATCTTCTGAGAAGCATCCAGGTCGAGACCCACCACACACAACAGCTCACCCCAGCTCCTCAGTCTCCCCATGAGACACTGTTGCCTCAGTATACCCCCAAGAAAACCCTCCCCTGGCTCTTTCCTCCCCAAAGAACATCGTCTCCCTCCACCTCCCTCCCTCCGCCTCGGCCGTGAGCTCCCAGGCTGTCACAGGGTAGGGTCACAGGCAGGCTGTGTTGCCCTCGTGCCCGGCGTCTGGAGATTGGCTGGGGCTAAGGCCAGGCCTGTGGTCCCCTGCTCCTGGCTGGCACTCCATCACCACCTCACCCCCTTCTATAAATAGCCCACCGCTCACTGGCTGCCGAGCTCTTGGAGCAAGAGTTTCCATGAGGTCAGCTTCCCAGAGCAGCCTCCAGGCACCCAACACCCACGCTTACCTCTCCCGAAGTCCTGTGGCCTGCTCGCCCCTGCAGGGGGCTGTCCCGGGCGCCGTGTCTCCGCCGGGCAGGGGGTGTGGGCACTTGGGCAGAGGCCTGAGGTGGGGCCTTCCCTGAGCTCTGGGCCCCTGGCTCTGGAGCTTGGCTCGGGGAAGAATCGGGCTTGCTGTCGGCGGTGGGCTCCCCTTTGGGCTTTGGAGGGGCAAATCTCTTCCTGTTGAAAGGCCTAGTTGTCTGGGGGGCTGAGGACGTGGGCTGGCCAGGGGCAACAGGCCCCCTTTCACTTCCAGCCTCACTGGGTACCTTCCCCAAGGGCATTTCTCCAGGTGCCCTGCCACTTGGGGTCTGGGGCCCCTCCTCCCCGTTCGGCCTGCCCACCCGGGTGCTTTCCAGGGAGAAGTACACTTGCTGGTCGGGGCCTGGGACGGGGCCTGGGACGGGGCCTGGCGCCGGGGCATTCTGGGCCTGCTCTCGAGTGCCCGCAGCTCGAGCTGACTTCCTGAGGCTATCCACTCCAGGGGCCCCAGGCCCCCAAGCAGCCCTGCCTCTGGGCCGGGTCTGGACCTGCTCCATGTCCGTGGGCCCCTGTGTCCCAGGCTTGTCGGAACTAGGGGCACGGCTTTCGGAAGATTGTTGGCTTTGAGCTGCCTTCTCTAACTCTGGCTTCCGTAGACCTTGCTTAGGTTCCTCATCTTTCTTTTTCTTCTTGGCCCCAGACTCCTTTTGGGGGGCTCGCTGAGGCCCCAGCTCCATGGCCTCACAGATGTACGTCAACAGGCCGTGCTCCCCATCCTCCCCGTTCTCGGGGGCAGCCTCCCCGTTGGTGGTCACCTCTCCGGGAGCAAAACTGTTGATGAGGCCCAAAGCTGGGTGCTGACCAGGCTCAGCCTCTTCCTTCTGCCAAGCCGCTGGGGTCCCGTCCTCAGCCTCCCTGGTGGGGGCCGAGGGCACTGACGCCTCATCCCCGCTCAGCCGCCGTTTCCGCTGGAAGCGGTCGGGGCTGAGCTTGCGCAGAGTGTCGGCGTCCCCCACCACCTCCTTCCCGGGCTTCCAGTTCTGCTCGATCTCTCGCATCTTTGCCGCAGCCTTGCACTTCAGTTTGGTGAACCAGCGCTGGTGGATCTTGTACTCAGTCATAGTGCCAACCTCCAAGACCCCTGAGCAGGACACGATGCCCTTGGTGTTCCGGGCAGAGGCCTGGTAGATGGCCGCATCTTCCTCTTGACACCTAAATGTAGGAGTACAAGACGCTGACTCTCCCCTCCTGCCAGGTGAGAGGCCCTCTACCCCACAACCAGCATCTCCTGGAACCGAGCATGCTGCCCCACCCCCTACGGGTCCCCCCGAGCCTGAGTGCCACACCCCACCTCCGACACCACTGCATCCAACACTCCCCGTTACAGTTGGGGAAACTGAGGCTGGCAACAGGGAGGGAGCTGGCCCAGGTCACGCTGTTCCAGGAGGGATTAGACGTGAGGTCCAGGAGAGCTCCCTTCAGAAGCAGGTGACCCATACAGCCCCTTGTGAAGTAAGGATGACACAGGAGCTTTTTTCAGTAGCTGACCTCATGGAAAATGTTTCCACGGGTCGGGACCTCCTCTGGTTACGCTTCACTCTCTGGCTGTCAGAAATCCTCCCACCCTGGCCTTAGGAGATCCCAGACCCTGGCAGGCAGGCAGCTCACCAGCAGGTTCAACTCAGCAGCAGAAACCTGCCCTCCACCCTAGGATCCCTCCTGGACACGAGTGTCCAGCTGAGCCCATCTCTGCTGGGGCCACAGGACGCCCAGGAATGCAGAGAGAGCAGGACGGGCCGCTTTCCCTCACCTGTAGAGATGTAGTGTGTGACGGTTGCCCTGGTGAGTGATCTCATACTTCGGCAAACCACAGTAGCGGTCCAGCTCTAGGTCATCCTTGTACCAGGTCACCTCTGGCTCTGGGTATCCTAAGAAGGAAGTGGGGGACTGGGTTTCAGGAAGACCAGTTCCAAAATAGGAGAAGGAGAGAATAGGATGCCACAGCTTCCCCAGACCACCTTCCCCCCTCGCTGGAAGAAAAGGGCTATCATTTGGCTCTGTTTATTTTTAGAAGCTAGCCCACGTCAAGGCAGAAAACTGTTCTGTTTCAGCAGCTGGGAGGCATATATGGAGGAGAAACTTCCTAGCGGGGAAGCAAGAAGTTTCCAGAAAGCCTTGGCTGGTAGTAACAAGCCTCCTTCTTTTGGTGTCCTGATCTACATTCTCAACTGCAGTAATAGCTCTATCCTCAGAGGTCTCCCCCCAGGACCCCAACACCAAGAGCCTTCTTTTATCCCAGGTTGCTGAGATGCTGGCATTATTTGCTGACACAGCTAAAACATCCATCCATCCATTATCCATCCATCCATCTATCCATCCATCCATCCATCATCCTGCCATCTACAATTCCCTACCCAATCATTCACTGCTGTGGGACTTCCAGCCCTGCCCACAAGGAGAGCTTCCAACTGTTAGAGTCATGTGTCCCTGCCTCCGTCCTCACCTGGCTGATGGGTCCGGTAATGGACACCAAATCAGCTAATCGAGTCCAGTTATTTGACCCAGGTTTCAGGAATCAGGACCTAGAGACAATCTACCCTTGGGCCTGGCGCGGTGATTTCAAAGGGGTGCAGCCCTGTTCTCACGTGGACCGGCCCGCAGTGAGATGCAAAAATGAAGTTGATATTCAGGACAGAATAGGAGATAGGAGACAGATAGACAGTCCCAACATCCTTCCAAAGACTGGCTCCATTCCTTGCCTGGGCACCGAGGAGCTCCTACTTATCAGTCCCACCAGCCTTACCAGTGAACCCTGCTTCATTCCTTAAGCCGACTCCAAATGACTGACACTGTTGATCCAAATTCAAAGACCCCTAGCTCACATTCCCTCCAACATACATATTAAGTGTGTTGAGCGCCGCGAGGGGGTTACACAGCTGTGGAAGCCTGGCCGGCAGGCTCTCTGCTCTCAGGAAACCCACTGTACAGTAGAAAAGGTAAGTCAGGGGACACCTGCCCCACCCTCCCTGCTGTCTTTGGATCTGCGGCCCACACGTCTCTCCAAAGCTGTCCTCACTGGACCCCATCTCTTCTTGCCTCATCAAGGATGTCTTTCCAACAGTTTTTCCTGCTCTTGCCCCCATCAGCAAACTGTTCCCCTCTGTGATATCATCCCCCTTGGCACACAAACCTGATGTATGAGTTTTACAAGAAAGTTCTCTGCAGCTGCTGTCTGCGCTGTCTTCCTCCCCTCCCCTCCCATCAGGCTTTTGTGCACACACAACACCGGAACTGTGCCCGTGGAGGTCACTCATGACTCGCACGTCGCCAAATCTACTGGCAATTCTTACGCCTCATCTACTCAATCTGTCGGCATTGACCCCGCGTCCTGAGACCTTCTCCTCACTCCTTCAAGTGCTCTTCCTGCATCGTGGGCCACTCTTTCTAATTTCCTTCATCTGTCCCCCTCACCACCGGGGCCTGTGAGTATGAGGCGCCCCAGGGCTCAGGCCCCAGAACCGCTCGCCCCTTTCTATCCATATAACCCGAGGCCCTAATGCTGCCCTCTGGCCGTTAAAGATCTATATGCTCACGACTCCCACATTTGTACGTCCAGCCCAGACCTCCTCCCTGGACTCCTGGTTCCTAATTCTGACTGTGTGTCTTGACACCTCCACTTGGAGATCTAATAGGTCTCGGACTTACTACGCCCCAGGCCCAGCTCCTCATGCCCCTCTCAGGACAGTTCCCACATAGCTCGGGTCCATGGCAACTTTATCCTCCTAAGTTGGTTCGGGCCCCAAATCTGGAGGTATTCCCTTATTCCTTTCCTTTTCACATGTCCACTCCATCAGACAATCCTGTGGGCCCTCCCTTCAGAATATATCCAGAACCTGATCTCTTCTTGCCACTCCCCACCACCAACCAGTCCCCACCATCATCTCATGCCTCAATTTCTATAATAACCTCCCCGGTGACCTCACTACTCCCAATCTGGCTTCTATTCAGCCCACTGTCCACATAGCAGCCAGAGTGAGCCTTTTCAAGTCAAGTCAGGTCGTGGCACTCCTCTGCTCCAAACACCCAGGAGCCCCCATTTCATGTAGGCCCTCCTGATCGGGGCCCCGCACCCCCCTGCCTCATCTCCCAACACTCTTGGCCTTGCTCGCTGCCCGCCCCCCAGCCACAGGGTCCGACTGGCTCACCTCTAACACACCGTGCGAGCAGCCCACCTTGACTCCCTCACTTTCTGTCCTCAAGTTACCTCCTCAGGGGGCCTTCTCTCCTGCCCCGTATTAAACAGAACCCACTCTCCCCGTGCCTCTATTCCTCTCACTGTGTTTGGTGTATAGAACGCTTTGCCGTCTGACATGTGATACACTGAGGAGTTTGTTAGACGACGTGCATCCTCTCCAACCCCCAGTGGGACATCGGTTTGTGACTTATCTGTGTTATTCACTGCTGTGTCCCTAGTTCCTAGAATAGTCCCTGGTCTGGAGCCAACGCTCAGGAAATATTTATAGACGAATACACTAAGTGCTCAGGGTGCCAAGAAAGGAGCAAGCACTTGTGGCTAGGATATCAGCAAGGGCTTTATGGCGGGAGCGGCATTTGAACTGGCCGTGAAGGGTGGGCGGAATTTCAGAAACCGTAAAGTCTGGTGCCTGCACCTCCCTTCAGGGCACGAATCAGGCCGCTGCGGTGCACTAAGTCCCTGCCTGTCTCTTCTCCTAGACCCGCGCCCCATGTGCGCAGTTCTGTGTTCTCTACTGCTCTGTCCTCAGCAGCTGAGACGGTGCCTGGTGCATAGCAGTCACTTAGTAAAACCCCGATGGATGAGTGAGTAAAGGAGTGAGTAAGGAAGTGAGTGAACAAACAAGCAGGAGACAGATGGGGACGGCACGCCTGACGTAGGAACCGTAACAGTAGCGTGTGGGGGTGGAGAGCGAAGGACACGCCGGGGGACCGCGTCCAGGAGCAGGGAGCAAGGGAGGCGAGGCTGAAGCTGAGTCGGCCAGGAACAAACTCTGGGCAGCCCTCACTGTAAAGCGAGCCCCATGTTTCCACTGTGAGCTAAAGCCCCTGGTTACATCACCGCATGTGGCCAAGGCCAGCACAAATGTCCTCACCATCCTGTGCGATGATCTCATCCCTCCCAGGGCCCGGCTCAGAGCCTCCCGGCCCCATGATCTGCCCAGTAGGGCCTCAGTCTCCAGGGCATCTGAGTCCAGTCAAGCTGGGGCAGGGAAGGAGATATTGAATGGACCCCAGCACCCCAAGGCTGAGGCCTCAGCCCCCATGCCTTCCTCCGGTGCTTCTGCACAATGTGGCGGTCAGCCTGACAGCTTAGGGCTCCATGGCAACAGTGGGTTTTTGAAACACTTTTATTTGGACAGAAAACATCTCCTTGTGCCCTGGATAATATGAAGTGTGTCTAAAACACACAAAAGCAGGAAAGGTCCTTCCCTCCCAGCTGCACACACATGCCTGCCCGCGCGTGTGTGCCCACAAGCAGGCAGGCACACACGTTCAGCTCTGGCCAGGAGAGCCCACGTGGTCCTGCAGCCTGTGGCTTTCCCTCTTTCCCCCCGAGACCTCTGCTTCACAGCCAGCAGGCCTGAGTCTGGAACCCAGCTCGGAGACTTGCAGCCTTGACCCAACCATCCCCAGTTTGAGAAGCTTGGGTGGAAGAGATCAAGAGTGATGAGTATCAATATAGAGTTTTCCAAAGAGCTTTCAAACACAGTTTCATCTGGCCCTCCTCACAATCCTGTGAAAACAATTCTTCACACTTACTGAGGACTAACTATGTGCCAGGTACTGAGCCGAACATTTTTCTTGTATTATGTAATCATCACAAAAATCCTACAGGAATGTACTGTTATTAACCCCCAATTTAAAGAAGGGGAATTCGGGGCACCTGGGTGGCTCAGTTAAGCATCTGCCTTCAGCTCAGGTCATGATCCCAGGGTCCTGGGATCGAGCCCCATGTTGGGCTCCCTGCTCAGGGGGGAGTCTGCTTCTCCCTCTCCCTCTGCCCCTCCCCCTGCTTGTGCTCTCTCTCTCTCTCTTTCTGTCAAATAAATAAATAAAATCTTAAAAATAAAAAAATAAAACAACAAAGAAGAGGAATTCAAGGCCCATGAAATTAAGACTTCTGTCCCAAATCATCCAGCTGATGACATGCAGAAGAACCAAATTCAAATCCCTCTCTTCTATAAAACAGGCAGGTCAGGGGTTTTAATCTGTATTTCACACAAAAGGAAGACAAGGCTCTGGGAAGTGAAGTGACTTAGCCAGAGTCACAAAGCATCTGGCTTCCTTTTCCCTTTACCGATGCTCTTTCTGGTGAGGATTCTGGGACCAATAAGTAAATTTCTGTTCCCAGCATTCATTATAGTAGACTTGTTTCTCTGAGAAAGGTGTTTTTCAGGAACTTGGTTCTGTCTCAAGGCTCCGTCACTGCCCAGCGGCTTGCGGTGGCTTCCTCCCCTGCCCCAACATCTATGCACACACACACACACACACACCCCAACACAGAATCCACAAAGAGCTGAGGAGAGTGGGGGAATGGGGCCGCCATACTGGACAAAGATGAGCAACCTCAACGAGGACAGTAGCATTCTGGCCAAAGGAGCCCCTGGGGGACACAGCAGCCAGACGGCTGAGTCAAGGCCTGCTGTCCCCCCCTTCACCGCCTCCGAGAGGGGAGAGCCTCAGGATTGTATATTCCTTCTCCAAGACCCCAAGGACTTCTCTCAGAGATCAGCCAGCCGGAAAACCGGCACAGACTCCTCTCCCTCACGTGGTCTAGGTTCTGCCCCACCAGAAAGCATCACGTGTTCCTGGCAGGGCCCTGATGGGGCTGACTCATCACAGTCTAGTTTAAGGAACGCTACCAGCAGAGTGGGAGGAAGACAGACAAATG